CAGCACCAAGAATATTAAAGGCTGGCACTGAAGCACATTGGCAGGTACTTGCCTTGAGAGTTATAGTACCTGGATGAGGGAATGGGATGAGACAAATTCAGAGAGCTTTCTGCAGGTAATTAGATTTATACGACTGATAAAGCATCTGAATGTCGTATCGCTGCCTACGGAAACAGACCATTCATGTCCAGTTCGACCCATTGTTAGCTTGTCTATGATCACAACAAACGGTAACAACTACTTACTGAATTGACTTTCGGCATCCTTCACCTTGTTTTGAAAGCCATCTAAAGCAACTGTAAATTTGCAAAGGTGAGATTTTTTAATTTTTTTTTTTCTTAAACTGAAGTTGCTATTTCAAGCTGTAGCTGTTGGAATGTTCAATGTGATAGCATAGCCCGTTTCTGTACGGTGGGGGTTTTTTAGTTTAAGTATCTTTACATTTATTTGCTGGTTCCTGCTTGAGTTCCACATTTCATGGGAGCATAGGTACGTTTCCACACCGATCGTTACATGTAGATTCCCACGTGATTCTTGATTTGCCCTTTCACTGAACAGCACTTCCTTCCACAGCTCTTGATATGTCTCCACCAAATGCGTGTTTATGAGGGCATGTTCCACTGGAAAAGACTAAAATTTGCTAGGAACAAAAGTGAGATCACCTGGCTGAATTGCTGTGACGTAAAAGCCGAGGGAGCCCACTGCCTGTCACGTACCGCCCCGTGAGCAGCAGGTACCGCTAGTAATGGGCGCTTTGGACCGTGTGCTGGGCTCCACGTTACCGGGAAGTGGTTGTACGTGGGTGTAACGGTACAAACACAGCAACCTGGATCCTGCGCCCTGCGGAAGAGGGATGGCATGGCCGCTCCGCAGAAGGGGCTGTGCACAGCTGCCTGCGCTGTTTGAGCACTGGAGGACCGACTGGCTTCTTACGGGAAAGCTGCGCTGCAGCATTAGGGCATGGGTGGGCGGTGCGTGTCAGCGATGATATGTGCCAAGCGGTTTGGGGCTTCTTAAAAATAAGTATTTTTGTTAGAAAAAAAAAAAAATCCCTACAGATACTGAAATTGGTAGCTTGTGATTGCTGAGTTGAGCTGTTTTTAATGTAGCGTTAATCGTTTAGATTGCCAATGGTATGTTCCAATTTATTTTCAGCTGAGCAAGAAGTAAATACATTTATAATGGAGCCATGTAATAAATCTGCATTTTGTTATCTTT